AATCAGAATCGAATTGATGGCAATGAGTTTGATTTTTTTTTTTTTTTTTTTTGGTGGGGGGAGGTGGGGTTTATTGGGTTTCTGACTATATTTGACCTCCCAGGCTGGCCTTCATATTATTCCCTTAGTGGTTTTATTGCCCTCCATGGAGTTGCGTGCCTACAGGAGGGGCCATGCCAAAGAAAATACAATGCTTTCAAGTTCCTGGGAAGTAATGATGTCTGTAAATTTAGGGGAGGTTTGTGATATTGTAGGATGGATAAAGAAGACATTAGGTGTGGGAGAAAAGAATGAATGGATTTCTGGGGAGAAGGGTAGTCAAGGAAACTGAAACACTCCTTTAAGTCCAAAAATTCAGCTTCTTTGAACAATGCTGAGTTCTGCCTCGAAAGATTGCTATTATTTGTCACAGAATATTCATAATCCTCATTTTTTTTTATGAGTTATGACTTGACCATGCCTAAATCAGTAGAAGAGCATCTTGCTTAATTAAACTAATCAAAATAACAAAAATAACTAATAAAAATAACAAAATTTCCAAAGCCCTAAATCTGATAGAAAAATGTATTAAGAAATTGGGAGGAGACTAGAAATTAAGAAAAAAAAAAGCAAAGCTTTGAATAAATGGAAGAATTGATCATATTCACTCTTTTCAAAATGTAAGGCTTGTTTTATCTTTGTCTGAGGTTCTAGGAACAGCAGCAGCAACAGCAAGTCTCCCCGCATGTGAAATTCCTCAGGCAGATAATGAAACTCAGTGGGATCCCTAGTTTCAACCTAATATTCTGAGTTCTAACTTTTAAAGGCTAAGTTAAAAGTATTATTCTTTTGACCTTCATTGGTTTTCAATTACTTTTTTTAAATAATGAGCTTTCTTTACACCCATACCATGTAAACAAGCAGCCAAAAAATGGCTGGCATGTACTTGTAATCCTTCCTGCCCCCACCATCCCCAAGAGAAAAAGTCATGTAAGGCCTGGACTCAGTCATGGGTGTACCTAGGCAAAGATCTGCAAGGATATATCTGAAGCAGACACAACCACTGACTATATAGCCATTCGTTGCATTTTACCTAACTTTCTCTGTCCTCTGTTGCGATTGAGTTGATTCCAACTCATAATGACTCTATAGGACAGAGTAGAACTGCCTCATAGGCTTTCCAAGGCTGTAAATCTTTATGGAAGCAGACTGCCACATCTTTCTCCTGTGGAGTGGCTGATGGGTTCGAACCACCAACCTTTCTGTTAGCAGTCAAGCACTTTAACTACTGTGCCACCAGGGCTCCCTAAATTACATACTGTTGTTGTTGTATTGTTAGGTGCTGTTGACTCGGTTCAGACTCATAGCTACACTGTGTACAACAGAACCAAACACTGCTTGGTCCTTCATGATCCTTACAATTGTTGCCATGTTTGAGCCCATTGTTGCAGCTACTGTGTCTATCGATCTTGTCGAGGGTCTTCCTCTTTTTCCGCCGACCATCTACCTTGCCAAGTATGATGTCCTTCTCCAGGGACTGGTCCCTCCTGATAACATGTCCAAAGTACATGAGATGAAGTCTCACCATCTTCACTACCAAGGAGCACTCCAGCTGTACTTCTTCCAAGACAGACTTGTTCCTTCTTCTTACAGTCCATGGTATATTCACTATTCTTTGCCAACACCATGATTCAAAGGCATCAATTCTTTTTCAGTCTTCCTTATTCATTGTCCAGCTTTCACATGCATATGAGGTAATTGAAAACACCACAGCTTGGGTCAGGTGCACCTTAGTCCTCAAAGTGACATCTTTGCTTTTTAACACTTTAAAGAGATCTTTTGCAGCAGATTTGCCCAATGAATTATGGCATTTGATTTCTTGATTGCTGCTTCCATGGGTGTTGATTGTGGATCCAAGTAAAATGAAATCCTTGACAATTTCAGTATTTTCTCCGTTTATCATGATGTTGCTTATTCGTCCAGTTGTGAGGATTTTTATTGAGGTGTAATCCATAGTGAAGGAGGTAGTCTTTGATCTTCATCAGTAAGTGCTTCAAGTCCTCTTCCCTTTCAGCAAGCAAGGTTGTGTCATCTGCATGTTGTAGGTTGTTGATGAGTCTTCCTCCAATCCTGATGCTGCCTTCTTCTTCATATAGTCCAGCTTCTCTGATTATTTGCTCAGCATACAGATTAAATAAGTATTGTGAAAGGATGCAACCCTGATGCACACCTTTCCTGACTACCAGTTTTCCAACTACTGTTCCTTCTTTGTTTGCAACTTTCTCATTCCAATCACCAGTAATTATCAATGCATCTTGATTGCATGTTTGATCAATTTCAGACTGCAGAAGTTGGTAAAAGTCTTCAATTTTTTCATCTTTGGCATTAGTGCTTGGTGCATAAATCTGAATAATAGTCATAATAACTGGTCTTCCTTGTAGGTGTATGGATATTATCCTATCACTGGCAACAATGTACTTCAGGATTGATCCTGAAATGTTCTTTTTGATGATGAATGTGACGCCATTCCTCTTCAATTTATTATTCCTGGCATAGTAAACCATATGATTGTCTGATTCAAAAATGGCCAATACCAGTCCATTTCAGCTCACTAATGCCTAGAATATCAATCTTTATGTGTTCCATTTCATTTTTGACGACTTCCAATTTTCCTAGATTCATACTTCATGCATCCATGTTCTGATTATTAATGGACATTTTCAGCTATTTCTTTTCATTTTGAGTCATGCCACATCAGCAAATGAAGGTCCCAAAACTTGAATGCATCCCTGTCATTAAAGTCAACTCTACTTTGAGGAGGTAACTCTTCCCTAGTCATATTTTGAGTGCCTTCTAACCTGAGGGGCTCATCTTTCAGCACTATATCAGACAATGTTCTGCTGCTATTCATAAAGTTTTCACTGGCCAAGTTTTTCAGAAGTAGAGCACCAGGTCCTTCTTCCTAGTCTGTCTTAGTCTGGAATCTCCACTGAAACCTTTTCACCACAGGTAACCCTTCTGGTATTTGAAATACCAATGGCATAGCTTCCAGCATCATAGCAATACACAAGCCACCACACTACAACAAACTGACAGACACGTGGTAGACAATATCTAGTCAATTCCGACTCATAGTCACCCTATAAAACAGAGTATATGGTTTCCAAGGAACAGCTGGTGAATTTGAACTGCCAGCCTTTTGGTTAGCAGCCAAGCTCTTAACCACTGTGCCATCAGGGCTCCAGCTACATACTAGGCACAGGTTATTTCTGCTTTGGCTCTCTGCCTGCAGTTTAGGTAGCTACTATCAAGTTGGTAGTTACTCCTTGGTAAAGTCTTTAAGCTCTTTTCTAGGCATGGAAAAGTGTTTGGTTAAATATTTATAAATATTTTATCTAAATACTGAAGTATTTATAGCTTTATACATATTTAATTAAGTGCTAATTACTTGTATTTTCATATTAAATTTAAGAGAACATACTGGAGCAAAATTTAAAGAAATAGCACCACCTAGGGACAAGTTAATGTCAACTCTTTAATTTCTGCTTTCTCCTAACAAACTTTTGGACTGTCATCACTTTTTTATTGGAGGGGGCATGTTTTAAATCTTTATTCCAAGGAAACTCCCAGGCTTTCCAGTCCTTTAAACTGTCTAGAGTTCTGGCAGCCAAGACCAACCTCTGGAATCACATAACTTTTAGGAACTCTCTTCCACTGTATGTCTCATGGGCTGTGATGACACTGCACCCTCATTTTCTTGATTGCTGATCCTTTCTCTTTAAAAAATATCGTTTCTAGAAAAGCTTCAAACTTACTTCCATCCTCCTTTCTCAATATTTTATGACTCAAGTTATAATCATGTAAGATGGAAAAAAGATCTTATTAATTTTTTCACATCTACCCAAGAACTCTTAAGTCTAATAATATTTTTTTTTTAATCAAGATGCAGTTATGACTGATTATCTCTTCCCTCAGCACAGACTGCATAATTCCTTTCTCCCTTTTTAAGGAATAGACTTATAGGATATAATAAAGGTTCTTCTGTTAAAACCTCGTGGTTTTATAAGCTATGTAAGCCGAAAGTCTAAAGTAGTAGATCTTAAATCTTAGTGGGGTATGCTTATTAGAAATGGGGACACTCTTGCCTCAATTCTGATGCAGTAGGTCTGGGTTAAAAAACGACAACAACAACAAACAAACCCATTGCTATCAGGTTGATTCCGACTCACAGCGACCCTATAGGACAGAGTAGAACTGGCCCATAGTGTTTCCAAGGAGTGCCTGCTGGATTCGAACTGCCGACCTTTTGGTTAGCAGACGTAGGTCATAGGTCTGGGTTAGGGCCCAGGAATTTCTGTTCCTAACAAGAATCTTGAGTGATTCCGAAGCAGATGGTTCTTGGTCTACTCTGAGAAATACTGATTTAAATGGTTATTTGTTTTCCATTGCGGATTTTTTGTTGTTGTTGTGGATTTTTTTAAAGCAAAGAGTAATTTTTAAGCACAGGTATATAGGTTTCCACACAAAATTGAACTCTCATTTTTAAAACCTCATTTTAAACCTCAGAGTATGTCTCTCCTGAGACTTAGAGAAATAACAGTGTCACATAAATTTTTTTTAATATAATAGTTGAATGAAAAAATATATTCTCTTTGTTGATATTTTTAGTCTAAAATACCATACCTGTTGCCATCGCGTCAACTCTGACTCATAGTGACCCTAGAGGACAGGGTAGAACTTCCCCATAGGGTTTCCAAGGAGAACCTGGTGGATTCAAACTGTGCCGACCTTTTGGTTAGCACCCACAGCACTTAACCACTACACCACCAGGGTTTCTAGTCTAAAATAACAGTAATATATTCTTTTGGGCAGTACCAGTTTCAGAATAAATTATGTAAATAGATATTTTGTAATTAAACGTGTAGAACTTTGGCACTTAGTATAAAATTTTAATAAGTACTGTGTATTATTGATAAGTATATATATTCTGTACATTTCCCATGTTTTGGCTTAATCTGTGAAAAAGTCCCCTACTTTATAGCTTGAATGATAAATACATGGCAAGGGCTTTTATATTTTAAATAAATTCAGCACCCGTTACCAGCTGATCATTAAAATAGCAATTTGCTGAATGGTTTGCATGCTTTAATCCTATGATTTCTAATGAGGTAAGTGAAATAAGAGGCTCAATTTTGGAACAATCAAATTGTTGTTTTTCCATGGAATTAGCATTTAGGGAATGGTGTAGGTTCCAGGTCAGTTGTTGAGAGTTGCAGTGATTTATGACAATGTAGTCAACCTCAGGTCACAGAGGGCCATGAAAGTTAACACATCATTTGTCTTTCTTGTGTTCTGTAGACAAAGGCTGAAAATAAGACCTGGAAAAAAACTTCCTTTATCAATAAGTGGATCACAGGAGAGGGCAAACATCTTAGATGATTGTTTCAGTTTGGAACAAAGTAGGATAAAAATTGTCAGTGCAGTTAGAGATTTCCAATTTCTTCTCCATAGTAATTTTCACGTTTCCAAACTTCTTTAAAATGTGATGTTATGCAATATTTTGGGAGATTATATGCACTATACCCTTAACTTTTGAGATTATATGTATTATACCTATTGCTTTTTGCCTTTTGTAATTTTTGAGCATACATGTTTTATTCAAATTAGTGTTTTCAAGGCATTGCCAGTGGTGTCATAGGGATGTTTCAGATTTATGTCACTGGTTCATTAGCACCTCCATTGTTTCTGTCTCCTTCATTTTTTTTTTTTTAGAGTAAAGATGGCAAAAGTCCACTGCACATGACAGCTGTCCATGGAAGGTTCACACGGTCACAAACCCTCATTCAGAATGGTAAGAGATTCTTCAGCTGTGTCATTTTATTTGAACATTTTCCTGATTTGACTGAGTTTAGCTGTCAATCATCTGAAAGTAAAAAATGATACTTAGTTTTGGAGTCCTGGTAAGCAAGGCTTTCCACCATTCTTTGACCTGCCTTGCTAAGGGCTCTTCATCAGACATATCATCACCATTCATCTTAGAAGTGCGAACACAAAGCCACTATGTTTCATAGTCAGGTCCAAGTCAGGCAAAGAACATGTGAGTCTTGAAACTGGAAATGATATATAGACTCAAGATCTGTGCTTTTTACTCTGAAACCAAGAAAGTTAAGTAGCATACATTGTCTAGCAGCAAATCTGTATTATTTTTAGATTTTAAATTCACCTTAGTTCCTTAAGTAAAAACTCATAAAGCCACTTGGGCAAAGGTGGGAAAAGTGAGGTGACTCAGAGGAAAAGAAGAAAAGTACCTAATATACAGAGTCATAAAATCACAGACTTGACAGAGACCTTGGAATGTCACAGAATCCAGTGGTTTTCCAGGCTCACAGCGTAGGTGTACTTGGACCATTGGGTTGTCTCTGTAGCCACAGTACTAGGGAGTATCTCTTCACGATGTGGGTCGCATTGCTCCTCGTGGGTCATGGCCAGCGTTTGTGAGTGGGTTGGCCTTAGCAACAAAACTTTTGTTGTCTTAGTAAATCGTAGAGGCAATAAAATAAATAAATAAAACTCAGTTAGTCCAGATTTCACGCTGACATTCCAGGTCAATTCAGCTGTTCCAAAACCATCTGTAGTTGACCCACATTTCTGCTTTTCAGAATTGTGATGTCATTTGATTTTCTTGGACCTATCCTTTTGTCCTCTAAAAATTTTGGATGGCACACACTTGAATTGTTAGTGGCACTGAGTTATGTCTTAGGCACTCAAGTTATAAAACCAAGAAGTCATTTGACATTTGGATGGAGGACTAGCCAGTAAAATTATGCTTAGAAAGCAAAATATCTGCAGGAAAGCAAAGGAAATTTATAACCATCTCAGTGAAGTTATAGGGAAAAAAAAATCCTAACAAATTTCCAGTGAGTCAAGGAAGGTAAAATGGAAATTAACTGCACATCACCCATTATTTCTAATTTGAAATATGTGACATGCCGTTGACATTCATTTTATTGAAAGGGCCACTCTAATTGTAAATAAAGGGGGAGGGGGTGCCCTAGTCTCTCCCTTTTGAGCCTTTTCCTTATCCCACTGTATTTGTCAACTGCTTTTTAGAAATAGTATTCATTCCCTTAAAAACAAACAAAGCCAGGAAGATATTTGGCATCTTTTTTTTTTTTAAGTTAAAGTGAATTTAATCAGTGGTCCCTAGCTCTGTGGAATAAAAAGCGTTGTCTCCTTTAAAGTAATTTCAAGCACCAGTGGCCAGGTTGGAGAGAGAACAATTTTTCACCTTGTATATGCTACCTTCCTACAAGTTCATCCCTGTATTCCAGACTGTACTGGCCATCTCCCTTGAATCAAGACCATGACCCATCTCCCCTGTGTCATGCAACTGTGCTTACAACAGCCCCGGGAGGTTTCTGGCTGCTTTAACCTCTCCAAGAGCCACCCCTGTGGGCTCAAAGACTTCTATGCCCTTCCTCAGTCATTCTTGCTAGACTTTTGAGTTGGGCCTAGACCTGAAAGAGACTCCATCTCTTGTCATCTGTGATCAAGAAGCTTTATTTCAGAGCCTGCCTCATCCTTGGCTGGCCTGGCATCTTGCTTATGGGTTTGGTGGGGCCCAGGAGCCTAAATTGATGAGGACATAGTGGCTATAATATATAGACTATGATATGTAATGGCAAAGCTGACATTTGTTGAGTTTTCACAATGTGTCAGGAACTTGGCATAAATCCATTCAACCATGGGGAAACCGAGGCAGAGAGGTGGTCACTGGTGTCGGGATACATGGATGGTACATCAAGGAATAGGGATTGGAACTCAGGCAATCTAACTTCAGAGACTGAACTACTACACTATAAACGTGTTCTCTGGAAAAGCAATGACATATGACAAACTCCCCCCACCCCTTTTTTTATTGTTGTAGTTTAAGTGAAAGTTTACAATTCAAGTTAGTCTCTCATACAAAAATTTATACACACATTGTTATGTGACCCTAATTCCTCTCCCTATACTGTGACAGCATACTCCTCCTTTCTACCCCTGATTTCCCGTGTCCATTCAACCAGCTCCTAACCCTCTGCCTTCTCATCTCACCTCCAGACAGAAGCTGCCCATTTAGTCTCATGTATTTACTTGAGCTAAGAAGCACACTCTTCACAAGTATCATTTTATGTCTCACAGTCCAGTCCAATCTTTGTCTGAAGAGTTGGTCTTGGGAATTGTTGTAGTTCTGAGTTGACAGAGAGTTCAGGGGCCATGCTGTCTGGGGTTCCTCTAGTCTCAGTCAGACCATTAAGTCTGGTATTTTTACTAGAATTTGAGTTCTGCATCCCACCCTTCCCCTGCTCCATCAGGGACTCTGTGTTGTGTCCCTGTCGGGGCAGTCATTGGTTGTAGCCGGGCACCATCCAGTTCTTCTGTTCTCAGGCTAATGAAGTCTTTGGTCTATGTGGCCCTTTCTGTCTCTTAGACTAATACTTTCCTTGTGTCTTTGGTGTTCTTCATTCTCCTCTACTCCAGGTGGTTGGGACCAATTGATGCATCTTAGATGGCCGCTTGCTAGCTTTTAAGACCCCAGATGCCACTCACCAAAGTAGGATGTAGAACATTTTCTTAATAAACTTTGTTATACCAGTTGACCTAGATTAGATGTCCCCTGGAAGCATGGTCCCCAGACCCCCGCCCCTGCTACTCTGTCCCTCGAAGTGTTTGTATTCAGGAAATTTCTTAGCTTTGGTTTAGTCCAGTTGTGCTAACTTCCCCTGTAGCGTGTGCTGTCCTTCCCTTCACCTAAGATAATTCTTGCCCTCCCTCTCTACCCTCATAACCATCAAAGAATGTTTTCATCTGTATTTAAACCTTTTCTTGAGTTCTTATAATAGTGGTCTTACACAATATTTGTCCTTCTGTGACTGACTAAATGCACTCAGCATACTGCCATCCAGATTCTTCCATCAAACATTTTTTTTTTAACTTGAATTCTATTTACTCTAAGAGTCACTTATATTTGGAAGAGAGTTGTCCTTATAAAAGGATGATTTGACGTTTTCTTCTCTCAGCCGACAATTCTTTGCATTCATTATACATGTAAGAACTGCAAGTTCTTCATTTGACATTTTTTAAAATGCCTTTGGGGAGAAGCATAGGAAGCTCTTTTCTTTCCTCCTGTTTGTTGGCTTCCTTCTGGGGAAAATCCTGTGCTACTGCTGGACCCTCCCTTCTCCAGAGGCTCACACCCCCAGGGCCTGAGGTCAGTCCTCCAGAGTGGGTCACTACAGAACAGGAGCTGCTCTGTCCTTCAGGATCCCGAACGCCAGGACCACATGGGAACATCGGTTGGCCCCCGGAGCCAACTGAACACATGTGGCTGAGGAACATTCTTTGTATTTACTTATTCATCGGCTTGTTAATTTGCTCTGGTATTTGGACTTTATGTGTATTTCTCTGCTTCCCTGACTGCTCTCCAGTCAAGGTTATTAGCAGTTCTTCATAATAGCTTTGTTTTTCAAAATAACTTTGTTAAGACAATCTTTTAAAAAAAAAACTTTTTTAGTTAGTAAGCAAAGACTTCCTCTGCTGTTACATCACTCACTTTGTTGTCTGAGGCTGTGTTGTCATAGCCAGGGAGAGAAAGGAACTGAACAAAGAAACAATATGGTATCAGCAGACATTTCATCCAGCCATTTGCACTAGGCAGCTGCCTTAGATGCTGTCTATTAGATTCCAAAAGTTCAAAAGTGACATTTTCTTCACAGAAGCTTTAAAAATTAAAATAGAGTCTGAAAAGGAAGAGTTAAGTGGTAGGTTAGAGTGGCTCATTGTGAGATTTTTGTCCTTTTGACCCACAGTCTTCCTGAGGCAACTTAATAAGATGACCGTTCTTGTTTGTACAATGAAAAACTAATTTCAGAAGGATGCTTAGATAATGCTACATAAATTATCCTTTCTGACATGCTCTGTATACTTTGAAATTTGCAAATGTTTTTTCTCACCAATTATCAATTATTAACATTTAACTTGCAACTGTCAGTGAATAAATATTAAAGATGTTTAATTTGTATTTTAATTTAAGCAAGTCTTAAAGATTTTCAAGTGAAGTGACTATAAAATAGAAATTCACTCATCTAGAGGCCCTAATTTAATATAAAACATATTTCCAAATAACAAGTACATTATTTCTTTTTTATTTCTCTACTAAGTTATGATGTTTTTCTAAAGTATATTTCAAATGACAACAAAAGCATATGTGGAAGACAAACTGCCTATATTTTGAAGTTTTAAATTGATTTATGAAATGATAGTCGCGCCAAGAAACATGATTGGCTCAGGCCCTCTCTTCCACCCTTCTCAATATTTTTCACACTTCTCTACCCAAGTTTTGGCACACTTGAGACTGGCAGAGGTGGAGTTCCTAACACTTCCTAAGAAAGTTTTGGTGGCTCTTGGCTGTGAGGGGTGTTGAGTGATGTCGTGTGTGTTCAGAGCAAAGTCTTTTCTGAAGTCTGAGGACCCACCTTCCACACCTGCATGAGTCAAGTCCTTGAGTGGACGTTTCAGGCCTACCACTGTGGATAATTATTAGGCAGATACATGCTCCCTGGATTGCCTTAAGGTACCCATGGCATCTGCCTGTACCCAAGGCTACCCTCAGGTCATAAAAATGACTTACTCTAAATTGGATACCTCTAAATTCAGAGCACAATGAGCTAATTTATTTCTTGAGTCCCTAGAAGATCACTATAACTAGTTTTACTTTATTATTTTCTTTGATTATAAAATTAGTGCATGCTTACTGTAAAATTAAATCATTAAAAAGATCCCCCATGATCACCACCATATGTCTCCATCCCAAGAGTTTCTATCGACAGTTTGGAAAAACGTATGGATTTTTCTATATATTTACACACATACACACACACCCACACACACACATCCACACACACAGATATACCAAATCCAAAAACCAAACCCACTGCTGATTCTAACTCATAGAGACCCCGTAAGACAGAGTAGAACTGCCCTGTAGGGTTTCCAAAGAACAGCTGGGAGATTCAAACTGCCGACCTTTTTGTTAGCAGCCGAGCTGTTAACCACTACACCGTGAGGGCTCCTCTCATATATCTTCTGATGTATATATACATCATCTGGCCATCTGATGTGTGTATATATATATGTATATATACAGATCATCTGATGTGTTGGAGGGAGGAGTGGAGAGGAATGAGGTGGAAAGGCAGGAAGGCCACATCTTGAGACCTTGCCTGTCGTGCTAAGGTGTTGGAATTCCATTCTTAGGCATTTAGAAACTGTTAAAAAGTAACAAGTGGGTGTAGGATAGGTTGTGTCTAATGATCCCATTTGTACGTGAGAAAGATTGCTCTAATAGCAGTCCAGATATATTGGAGGCCGTCCAAATTACATATGTGTGTGTGTGTGTGTGTGTGTGTGTGTGTGTAAATATTACAGAAATGATCATAGTGTCTTTATTCAAACAACTGGTTTTCAAAATATTGACTGTACCCAGGAACAAAAATTTGAGGAAAGATCAGTATTTGTATTCAAGTAGTAATTTATGTTTACCATCAAAGTTAGAAAGGGATTACCTTTTTGTAAACAGCCGTTATGTTGCAAACACCAAATGTGAAAACTTATTGGCAGCAAATTGACTGATTTTTCAAGTTAAAGGCTACACTCAGAAGTTTTGGCTATAGAGTGAAAAATCTTAAATCCTGTGTGTATGTGTGCTAATTTCAGTTTTTGAAGTATTTGCCCCCTTGCACAGCCCACACATTTTTGGTAATTATTTCATTCTGTAGCAAAGATTCTTACTGTTTTACCAGTACTCCTGGCTAGAAAAAAATACTGTTTGTGCTGAACATAAATTTTAGCGAATTGGTAGTCTGAACAACCAATAGTAGGATTCATTAGAATGAAGGGCTGTACAGATATTATTGTGAGTATTTTATAGTGATCTTATTATGAGAGGCCAGCAGGGTCATGGCCTGGAAGTTACATAATATATATAATAATACTAATTCAAACAGTGACGTATTCCCTCAGAAAGCATTCCTGTACTTCAAGCAGAGACACACACCAGTGTGGAAAAGAAATCAACATTTGGTCAAATTGAATGACTAGCGTAGAGTATAGTGTTTGAATCAGCTTAAATCCTTGTGTTTCCCATATTATTAACATATCTCTTTCAGGAGGTGAAATTGACTGTGTGGATAAGGATGGCAACACTCCTCTCCATGTGGCTGCAAGATACGGTCATGAGCTTTTGATTAACACCTTAATAACCAGCGGAGCCGACACTGCCAAGTAGGTTCCTGCAAAAATATGGTAGTATAATTGCCACGTGTGGGAATCATGCCAAATGGACTCTGCCATGCAGTAGATAGTTCCCATTTATTGAGGTTAAGGTGAATTGTACCATTACACTCACCACAAATTAGATTTGAAATGAGTGACTTTTAATGATGGATACAAGGAAGAACCAATTTTATTTTTCAGCTACATAAGGATGAGGCCTATTTCAGTGGTTTTAATTATTAACATTATTATTATTTTTAAACTGTATTCCTAAATTTGCTTTCTAATATTGTTTTGTTCTTTTCAATGTTAGTTAAGCAGGAAAAATGAAACATAATTGGGCAAATTCAGAATTTATTCAGGGTACTTGCTTAGTTTTAAAGATGCAGTTATAAGGTAGCAACTGAGTAAATCTACTACATTGGAGAGGAAGGCCTGACCTCATTTTGTGCTTCAATTCAGCAAGAATATATAAAGCATCCATATGTGTCTTTCAGTTCTGGGTACTATGGGGGAATTCAGAAGAAGTAAATTACTTGGGTGAAGTAGCTAATTTTGTTGGGGCCCACAGCCCATTTAAGACAAAGAACCATGCAAGATAGTACAGTGAAATCTGTGAAAGCTGGAACTCGACCAACTGCCTTGTTTTTCCGTGTTTTGCTAGTTTTCGCCTTTGACAGAGTGTAGTCTTACCACTATTCTGTTGCTATTAGTGGAAGATATTTGAGTTTTCCTTCTCTGACAGGTTTCCACCTTACGCAGGTTCCAACTTCTGCAGGTTTTACTATATGTAATAAAGTTTTAAATGAAACATGACTTAAGTGGAAAAATATTGTAGACAATATATGCCACAGAGTGTAGACAGGAACGAGAGACCTCAAAGATGGCCAACATTTTCTGAAAAGCCTTCAAGGAGAGTCTTAAGCAGGCTTTGAAGGGTGAGAAGTATTTGAGTAGAGCAGAGGGTGGCAGACATCCCAAGCAGACAGGAAATCAGGAACAAAAGGTGAGAAGTGTACAACTCAGGGAAGAGCTTGGCCTGACAGAGGTAAGGGTGTGTGACGGTGCTGGGCTCTGTCCAGAGGCAGTGCAGTGTGGTGGCTGGGAGCACATGATTGGCGGACCACTGCCTGGGCTCCAGTCCAAGCTGTTCACTTATGAGCCATGTGACCTTGAACCCACTGCCCAATCTCTTTGTACCTCAGTTTCCTCATCTGATAAATGGGAGTAATAATACTTCCCACCTATAGGCTTCTTATGAGGATTAAATGATTTAATTACTAGTAAGGTACTTGATATATATATAGTCAGATGATGAGTTAAATCAATATATCTGCTAAGTTTATTAAACAAGATAGTTCATGTAAAGCTCTTTGAACAGTGCCTGGTACATATTAAGATATCAATAAATGTTAGTTATAATTTCATTAGTTAATAATAGGTAGTAGAATCACATTAAGGAGAGTCTTAAATGCCTGAATGAAGAGTTTAGGCTTTATTGCAGAAACTATGGGTAACAATCATTGAAATTTCAGGAGAACAATATGAGGGCAGTGTTATGTTAGGAATTTTGTTTTATTCATCTAATGTTGTGTAACAGAATTGAAAATCTTGCCTGAGAATGAGCCAAAATTTAAAATGGTCTGTGGTGGAATCATGTTTTAAATCAGGGTTTAAAGTGAATTATATGGAATACTCTGGGAGATTTGTAGTATATAATGATTTACCATCATCAGTTCAACATCAAGTTGAGCTGGGTGACAATTACCTTCTGAGCTCCCAGTCTAGTGGTGGAGATAAGAACAGCAGCAAATGACTAAAGTATTGTGAGCTGTGTTATGATGGAGGTTTCAGCTAGGCTGTGGGTGCAGAGTCAGGGAAGTACTGATCCTCTGAGTTCCCCCAGAAGAGGTGATATTTCAGCCAAAGGAAGGATGGTAGGAATTTATCAAGTGGACAGAATTGTGTGGTGTGGGAGGATAGAAGGTAAAACAAGGAAGGACATTCCAGGAAAAGGGAGCAGCATTTACAAAGACACAAACGTGACCATGTTGAAAGCAGACTCTGAAGGGCAGATCATCCGATGTGTGATGGGGAGTGGAGAGGAATGAGGTTGAAAGGCAGGAAGGTCTTGAAAGACCTTGCCTGTTCTGCTAAGGTGTTAGAATTCTATTCTTAAGCATTTAGAAGCTATTAAAGAATAATCAGTGTGTGCAGGGTAGGTTGTGTCTAATGACCCCATTTATACGTAAGAAAGATTGCTCTGATAGCAGTCCAGGCATATTGGAGGCAGTTCAGACTAGAAACATTGGTAGCTTCTTGCAAATGTCCAGGGAAAAAAAGATAAAGGCTTTGGCTAAGGCAGAGGCTATGGGACACAGATGAGGAAAACTTTGTCCCAGCCCCAAAGAGCTGCATCTGCTTTCTTTTCTCACAACATATCTGGGGATAAGACATGCCCCCTTCAGTAACAGCAGCTCATTAAGGCAGTAATTGAGTGTGTGTCTGTGTGTCTGTGTGTGTGTGTGTGTTGAGGGCAGTGCTGTGACAAGGGAAACCACCTTAGGGGGAAAAATATTAAAATGAGTGGGAAGGTTGTTGGAGAAGATTAAATTTGCTAAAGCACCCCTCCCCCACCCCCCAAAAATCACTGTCCCCTGGGTTCCTTGTAGGTTTATGTTGTTGGGTAGCTTACTGAAGAGGAGTAAAACAGGCCTTTCCTTCTGTAAATAAGTAAACCAACAAATAGCATTTGTGAAAATAGCCATCTTCATTCATAAACAATATGCCCAAATGTATTTAAAAAGATCTCTGTATGACAAGTTTTATCAGCATATAAAATCTTATTCTTATGAATTTATTTGAATCTTATTCTCCAGCCTTAGTTAGAACGTTCTTTGTTATTCTTTTTTGCTTCTCTGAGCCTTACGTGAGAGCACTTTCTGGAACTTGGCTCAGTGCTCTTGTGGTGTCAAAGCCCTTGCAGTCTTTATTCTTTAATTGTATTTGGTTTGGCTCTAGGATTTTAATTTGCCTTCTACTTCACCTTTTTCTGCCTCAACTGCAGCAGAATTAGGGGTATGGTAGTTATGCGGGTAATTGGGTCTGATAATTATTCATTCACTAAGTGTTTGTTGAAGGCCTGCATCAGCCACTGTAATCAGGTTCCAGGGTTACAGAGGTCCCAATCCACTGGAGACAAGAATTAAACCAGCAATTACAATCCTGCATGCTAAATGTGATACCAGGGCAATTGTTGGGTACCATTGGGATATGGCAGAATATATCTGGGGCACTGAACCCAGTCTGGCATTGCATAATATGTCAATAAATCCAAAACACATTTACCAAAAACAAACAAACAAAACTACAGAAACCAACAACTTTGAAATGAATTTCACAATTGAACTATAGCAGCAAACACATAGGTACTTACCTATACTAGGTACCACTCTGAGGGGTTACGTTTAACTATCACAACAACCCCATGGGGTAAATGCTATGATTATCCCCGTTTTACAGGTAAAGTGAATGAAGTGCAGAGAGGTTCAATCACCTGCCCAAGGTCACATACTTAGTGAGGGGTGGAATTGGGATTCTGTCCTCAGCCATCTGGATCTGGAGCATCAGGGCCTGAGCACAAGGCTCACTGTTTCTTTGTAATCGATAGTGTGATAGTTCATGCTTTGCCAAAACTAAATCACCATTTTCAGGGGATCGTGGTGCTGATGACTAAGGTACTGACTGTTTGGAATTCAGTATGTTGTTGTTGTTAGGTGCCATCTAGTCAATTCCAATTCATAGCGACCCCACGTATAACAGGATGAAACACTGTCCAGTCCTGCGCCATCCTTACAATCGTTGTTATGCTTGAATCCATTGTTGCAGCCATCTCGTCAAGGGTCTTCCTCTTTTTCGCTGACCCTCTACCTTACCAAGCATGATGTCCTTCTCCAGGGAGTGGTCCCTCCTGATAACATGTCCAAAGTATGTGAGACGAAGTCTCATCATTCTTGCTTCTAAGAAGCATTCTGGCTGTATTTCTTCCGAGACAGATTTGTTTGTTCTTCTGGCAGTCCGTGGTATATTCAGTATTTTTCGCCAACACCATAGTTCAAAGACGTCAATTCTTCTTTAGTCTTCCTTATTCATTGTCCAGCTTTCTCATGCATATGAGGCATTTGAAAACACCATGGCTTAAGTCAGGCACACCTTAGTCCTTAAAGTGACATCTTTGCTTTTGAACACTTTAAAGAGGTCTATTGGAGCAGATTTGCCCAATGCAATGCGTAGGAATGGAGATTTTGCAGTAGCTGCAACAAAGTGGTGGGACAGTGGACTTGTCAGACAGCACAGAGGCTTGTATTCAAACTACTGCAGAATTTTGTTCATACAGAAGGATCAGTGTGCTGCATTATCATTGCCCCCGCCCCCGCCACTGGCTCAGACATATCATTAATTCATTAATTTATTAAGTCCACCTTTATTCTTTTCTCATTGGCCCATGCCTATTAAAATAGTGCTACACAGCATGAATGTGATCCTAAATACAAACCCAGGTGCCAAAATTTGGCAACCATATGTGGTTATAAGGTGGTCATTCAGATGAACCAAAACATGGTTTTATGCTGTTTGTTTTATATTATCACCAAAATGAAAAAAACAATTTTAAAATGCTCACAAACAATTCTCAAGATGGCAAAGTTATTTCCAGGGACCCCCCAGGGACACACTGACGAGTTTGAGAAACACTGTGAGAAGAGGGCAGAAAGATAAAAGGTTTCAGGTAGACGGAGAAGCATGTGCAGAAGCCTGGGGCAGGACCGAGCCTGGCTCTTAGGAGAAATGGCTAGAAGTTCAGTGGGATTCTAGAGGCCATGTAGCTGAGGCAACAGCCAGATCAAGAAGGGGCCTTTAAGCCATGTTAGAGTGTTTGGACTTGATTTAAAAGGAACCACTGAAAACGTCTATATGTTCCAAATAGCAATAACGAGGCTTCATTGTTGTCGTTATACCCAAATGCCCAGTAACTTAGGGGTACATGACGAATACTTGGAATAGCATAGTTAAATTAAGAAGAAATTTTTTTTATTTGATCATTTGGATCAGAATCATCAAATCATCCTATTTTTACTCAGTGGACAAAAATAAACCAATCCCACTTCCCTAGGAGAGCTGTGAAATAATTATTGTAAAGGATTTTGAAATGTAGAAAAATAACAGAAATACTAGCTGATGGCAATTCTTTCTTGCCTTTTAAGAAATTGTATAGCTGATTCTCAGGAACCACAATCTGATTACAATTTCAAAACTCACAGATTGCTGATTACCCAATTAAGCTAAAAGTAATTGCAAGGGCAGTAATAATGCAAACATTTATGATGAAGGCTTACCAGGCACCACTCTATTTAGCACTTTATGTGCATTATCTCAATTAATCTTTACAATTACTCTATGAGGCAGACACTGTTATTATCTTTATTTTCCTGATAAGAGAACATGTAACTTGCTGAAGATAAAATAGCTAGCAAGTGACAGAACAAGGACTCATACCCAAATGTTCTGACCCCAAAGTCCATTATCTTAACTATGATGGTTTTTACCACAGCCTAAGGTCAAGCTCTAGAAAATACTGGATTAGAAAGGGTCTTGTCTCTCTGATACCAAGGGGACAGGACAGCTTAAAAGTACAGATATTCTAATGGTGCAAAGCCCTTTCTTCACCTACAGTAGACAGTCTTTCAGACTTCATTTATTCTGAAATAACTGGGTAGGAGATGCCAACTAACAGTTAAATTAGAAATAGCTAATACAAATGTGTTCCATTACTTTTATGACTGGTCAAATAAATGTAGCCTTTTAACTGGAATTGGTCTCCTTTTTCCTTTAATTTATGCATTGTTAAGTTGAATGTTATTTGACGTCTTTATTTCTTGATCTTCCTGATGAAGTCAGATTGATGCTTCTTATTTGACCAAGCCAGTCAAATCCTAATTTTCCTGCTAAAGGTTTCGTGATCCTTCCTTTATTAGCAATTTTATTTTATAACAAGGGAGTAATTTTACTTTGAAATACATGAATGGTTTCTGAAATGATTCAGAGATTCTGACATCTATTTTTCTTTTCTCTCCGTCTCGACCTGATATTTAGTTTTCCTACTTGAACCATGGAGCCCTGGTGGGGTGGTGGTTAAGAGCTCAGCTGCTGTCCAAAAGGTTGGGAGTTTGAATTTACCAGCTGCTCCTTGGAAACCGTATGGGGCAGTTCTACTCTGTCCTATAGGGTTGCTATGAGTCAGAATCGACTCAACTGCAACGGGTGTGGTGGTTATTTTTTTGTTTTTGTTTTTATTTGAACCATAGCACCATATTCAAATTTAAATGCCAGTAGTACTTGAGTCTAACCTATGATGTTGCTTGAGGTGGTGGCTTTACTATGGAATAAAAATTGTATATCAAACAGAGTTTTTTGCTAGTCCCCTTAAATTAGATACTTCTGTTTATCTTCTGAAGTTTATAAGTAGCAGTGAATAAAAATGAAATAAGTAGCTACTGTAAACTATGATGAATTATCTAAAGACAAGGGTTTTAAGTGGCAAGGTTGATTAGAAGTATTGATAATGAAGTTTATGGATTATATTATAATACCGATGCTCTTATACTGTCACTTACACTTTTTTATGTTTTCCCAATTGCTTTCTTAGAATTTGATACTATTTTCTCTAATCTATTTGCTTGTATTATTTTGTATAAAATATACATTTTACAAAATAGGTTATATATATTTTGTGTCTGTGTGTAGTGTGTGTGTGTGTGTGTGTTTAAATAATGAGGAAAGCTAAAAGAAATCTTGAGAAATCCATTCCTTGATTTCAGGCACATGACATTAAAACCATCCTAGAAAATATTCTATTCATTTTCCTCTTCCAAATCTCTAGAGATATTTAATCCAATATTTTTACCTGTCTTTCCAAAACAAATAAAATGGCTGGGTAAAATCATATTAGCTTAAAGTTCCACTTAGTAAAAAGCTTTTAAATCATGTTGTACATAAAAAAAATTAACGTTTCACTCATATCAAGAGGGAACAATATAAATAGTAGCATAAATAGAAGAGGCTTCTCTCCCATTCCCTAACTCCGTCCTCCTTTTCATGAGCATCAAGGTCATCACTGATGCAATTGCTTTTCAGATATTTTTTTTGTCAATGATGAGAGAGGCAATTACATGTACAGTTCTCCTCTACGTGACACTGCCCAAAGGTGGGCAAACTGCAGCTCTTGATGGATGCCAACTATTATATATACTAGGTTAGAAATTTTCATATAGGGAAAGGAAAACGAACAGAGGGAAGACTGAACAAAAACGCTGATAAATAGAAGTTATCATGGAAAGAGAAAGTGGTGGTTAATTGTTCACAGACTCCGGTTTTGCCAAACATTGAGTACCATGAAATATTGGTGGGTATGTATATACTTTCACATATTCACACACACATAATAATAACATTTGAGATAGCAAATAAGATTCTTGTATCCAAAGCTTAACAAATTCAAATCATATGCCAATGAGTTTCTTTATGAAGCATAGAATCTGAAAACAGGCCACTTTCAGCTGGAGAAAACATTTGGGTAGTTAGTGCTGCAGGGTACAAATGTATATGGCCCCATACTTGCTTGTGTTTTGCAGAGGGTTTACAAAATCTGAAATATATTATTTGACTAAAATGAGATGTCATGAGAAATGACCACCAACATTATTAGAAATGCTTTAGAAGCACACAGTAATCACCCAACGATGCTGTTGTGAACTGCAGTTCAGCACATGGATTCTGGTGCTTGTTGGAGTGAGGGGGAGCGGAGAAGAGGGGAGCGGGATTTTATTCTGAAGGCAAAAAGTGCTGCCATCAGCAGTCTGCCTGTCCCGTAAGGGATCATCCTGAGGACCATGTATGGTAGGGGAGCAGTCTAAAAAGTACTTTTCTAGATTCTTTCTGTAATACTGTTAGAGAACATATGCTAGGTTTATGAAATATATGCAAGATAATGTTTATTACTCTTCACTGTGTTTTCGTTACTGGAATCTCAGTGAGGGTTAGCGTGCAACATAAATGTCTATTAGGAAGATGAAGTTTCACCTGCAAAAGGTAAACATTAGTTTTTATTCTCAACTAAAATTTCATTTTTAATAATGCAGCCATTATTAACTATAAGCAAGGTTCTCAGCACATAATAGGCCAATGGTAAATATTTATTTATGAAATCTAGGAGTAAAACAGATTGCTTTTCAAAGTTGACAGTTGGCATTTCTCGGCATTGCTATCTCCAGCACTTAGCATAGTATCTGACGCTTAGAAAGTGTTGAATAAATGAATGAATGAATGAGATATACAATTGCTAAGCTGAAAGAAAACAAGAGAGAGAAATTCATTTTAGATTTAAAGAGTCACTGTTTATATGAAATTAATTTTCTTAAAAATATACATTCATATTGTTATAGGTTTTTAATTCTAGTTGAATTCTGCTCTATTTTTTTCCTCCACAGGTGTGGAATCCATAGCATGTTCCCCTTACATTTAGCGGCCCTAAATGCTCACTCTGACTGCTGCAGAAAGTTGTTGTCATCAGGTAAGTAAATCCATTGTCAAAGATGAGGCTTAATGTATCCTGTCAGTGAGTCACATGGCTTCAGGTGTCTGGTCAGAGTGAGTGGCTGCCTGTGCTTCATGTCATTACCTGACTTGGCAGAAGTTATGTACTACATACAGCTAACTGCATGTGACAGCTCCCAGCAGTCCACGGTGTGAACGCTGTTCAAATGTCAGTACTCCTGCCCCAGAGTGAGAGTCTTGTCTGTTTTTTAAGTTAAATCTTGGGTGATCCCGGGTGGGAGAGAGGCAGGGATGTCCAGAGCTTACTGGCAAGTTTGCCATAGAAGGAAAAGACATCTTTCAAGTTTAAAATGGTGACTTAACATTTAATAGTTTTCAACAAAAGAAAAAAAGGCCAAATTCCCTATATTTTAATGGTAGAAAATGTGTTACCGTTCCACTCTGTGGGCTCTGAAAAATCAGTATAAAAATTAAACTACATTTTTTTTTTTTTAACTTGGGGTTATTTGGAACCAAGATATTCTTTCTGGTTTGGAGCTTTGCTAATCTTTCTTATCACCGTTTCTGCCAACCTCTATATATTAAGAAGTTCCTGGGCTTTCAAAGGTGATACAGGTCTGCAGGCAAAGATTGTTTATGAATTAATTCATCAAATATCCCAGAGGCATTTTTTTCCTTTATGTACTTTACCTACAGTTGATTCCGCTTTCACTGATTTTGGCATGTTTAAAAATAATCCCTGCATGAAAGCACGTTTGCTAAATCTTAAACCAACTGAAAGCTAGGAATACACTTAAGAAAATATCTATTCCAGCATGTTCGGATTACTTCTTTGCCTTCCATGTTTTCTCCATGCATTCTCTCTGCCTGTCTATTACCCCACTTATCTCAAATTAGTTTCATAAATTTCTATCCTGTGATTGAAAAATGGGGCTGTGGTTCACCCAGGGCTGAATGTGAAAATAAATTCTTCTTGACTTCACAGTTCTTCCTATAAAATTGCCAAGCTTGAGCAGTTACCATTCGTTTCCATGACAACCTCTTTCTGACTACAGTTGCTTGCGTTGTGGTTTCTCTACTAACTGATTTTTCTGTCTCTGCAATGTTTCTTGTGGTTTAACTAGGACAAAAGTATAGCATAGTATCCTTGTTTAGTAATGAGCACGTGCTGTCTGCAGGCTTTGAAATAGACACCCCAGATAAATTTGGAAGAACGTGCCTTCATGCTGCTGCTGCAGGAGGGTGAGTAGTTAGCGATTTTAGTTATTTCATGGTTTAATTACTAATTCATCTTAACTGATTTAAGTTGTCTCTGAATCCAAGGCAATTTCCTTAGTAAAATGGCTAAGAATCATTTCTGGCAATACCAAATATCACTATGTTGCATTCCCAGATTACTTGCATTTTGCTCTTCCAAAGAAAAATTGTTAACTCATCTCAGATAGCAATTTTTTTTCTTTTTAATTTGTAGAGATATTTATTCAGCCTATAGAATAAATATCTACTAGGTACTCCCTCCACCAAAATAAAATAATTTGATCTTTTTTTCCTTTTTTGTTGCTGGTAGGTGAGTGATGATCAAGGGAATCCAAAAGTGAATTAATTCATCTTCCTTTACAGACATTTTTGCCCTTACTTCAAAACTGATTTTTAAGTCTTTATAATGATTAAATGTGAAACGAAGGTCAAAAGAGAACCCAAAGCATAGGCAAAAGTGATTTAAACCTTGCTTTTTTTTTTTTTTGAACTTGCTTAAGGGATTTTGCATTGGATACTGTCTTTTTCATATCAGTGGTTAGATTAATGCTCTGATCAGTAAATTGTTGGTATATGCCCTCACATTGACAAAACATGGCCACTCTTGGGTGACGTTATTTGAGTAAGGTGTTGGTTCTTAATCAATTTCCTGTTCCTTAAGCAACAGCAAAGCTTCTTCATTTGTCCTCTACATATTACCAAAGGCATTACCTATTTATTAGAGGTGAATTGACTGTGAAGCTTTAGGGCCCCTTATTTGCATGGGTCCTTTCAAAGTGTCCTACCTACTAGTTTTGTTTTCATTAAAAAACTGCTTTTGTATTCTTTTTTAAAAGAGGCTCCCCACCCTTCAAGTTATATGAGCTTCATGAGCCACACAACCTGGGTCAGCCTCTGTCTTTGATCCTTTGGCATCACTCAGTACGAGATGGATGCTTTATGTCAACTGACATTATGACACCAACATGTAAATATCTTAGAAAGTTCTTATATTTTATGACTGAAACACCTAGTTCTCTGAGAAGGGTGACTATAAAGGGTCAGGTTGGGGTAGGAAGAGTCCTGTTCAGAGTTTTCATTAATCATTTTTTTCTTATTTAAATTGTAATAAAATAATAAATTCTAGGTTTTTTTCTTAGCATCCCAAGTTTAGAACAATAGTGGATGATTATCTCTTTTTATGCCCATATTTAAAAAAAAAAAAATCAGCCTTATACAAAAAGGTGGCAACACATCATTCTAGATTTGTGTCTGAAACTCCTATTAGAATTAATATTTAGCAGTATGCCTTTCAAAAGGAAAATTCATTTCAGTGAGTCTCTTTCTCTCTACTAAACATGATTTATTGCTTCTCAAATGACAAAGAAGCTTTGGAAGATCACTGTGCTCCATTACATCGTTTTCGGCCTTGTTTCTGCACATTTATTTACCTAGATTACAAATATAGGGAAATGTAGCTATTTTATTTTCCATTAAGGAGTGTCTGGGTCGAAAATGGTTATCACGGTGAATCCATTCTGCTATGATAAAAGGTAATGCTTATCCACTACAGGTCATTTTTAAAGGTGACATGAAGTATTATAGTTTTAAGTGGTTGTTTCATAAACTCTTGATGGTTTTGAAAAAGAATTTTAGGATAAGTGATGAAACCATCATTGAGAGGTTTAATCGTGCAATAATCATTAAATTCCTAACTCATGGAACTGAAAATGTCCCATTAAGCTCTTTACTGACTTTTTAAAAGGAATCCTAAGGACTTTAGATCCTTAAGATACAGCATTACTCTAAAATGTTCGGGTTATATTTTTGTTAGCAGAAACAAAACCTGGAGTTACCATTTAATCCTGGCCTGCGCTCTGTTGAAAACAGCTCTTTCTGAAGATAGTCCAGTAGTTGGCCTTTACCATCTTAATGATGTTTTTTCCCTGTCTTTTTAGTAATGTGGATTGTATAAAACTCTTGCAGAGCAGCGGAGCAGATTTCCATAAAAAGGACAAATGTGGGAGGTATGTAATCAGCGAGCTCTTCTTCAAGGGCCTAAATAAAAGAGTGGGGAGCAGTCCCTCTGGAAATCATGTTATGTTGAAATGATAAACAGGGAAACTAGCTGAGAAGATTCCATCCCCAGAAGGAAATTCCTTCTTATAGCGAAACACCAACAAAATGGGCACAAGCCACAAGGAAAGCTCTCCACTCACAGGTGCTGATTAGGAATGCCAATTGTTTCTCTTCTCCTTTCAATTTTTCTTTAACCTCCTACATGGATATAGTTTAGAAAATTCTGTTTATAGCAGAATAGAACTCTTTAGAGACCTCCCCCATCCCAGAATCTGGCAACATCTGGAGCATCTTATTATATTTATGGAACATTTTATCTTAGGATACATTTTTAGACATTTTAAAAATATATATGCTAAATAGTCCATTTGGTTATTGGGATGGGTCATTGAACTTTTCTTACCTTAATGGTCCTCTGCATAGCTAAATATGATGTGATGCTAACTGGTACATGGATACACACACACGGTGTGTGTATTTATACTTTTTTTTTTTCATAATATTCTCCACTCCTTCTACTCACTTGCATTCTGGCTCTTTGGGTTTCTACAAATTTCTTCTCCTACTTACCTACTTAAGACAGTTCCTACTTGTCCTTCAAGACGTGGTTTGGCCCTTTTGCATTGTTCTCCCATTAACCTGTATCCCTATCCTCAGGGAGCTTCTAGTTCAGTGGGGAAGATGAGATAATACACCATTAGCTAAAATCAAGGCAATGTGTGATGATAGCCCGAGGAGAAACTTAGGAGCTAAACGATCTCAGATGAGAGAGAGAGAACTTTTGGAACTTAAGAGTTTTGATGGGTGGAAGTTGTTCAGGAAAGAGCATTCCAGGGGAAGAAAACAGCATGGGCAAAGGGGCAAGAAGTATGGACATGACTGGGGAAACTTCAGATTGTTTGGATACAGTAATTGGGTATATCTGGGGAGAGGGAGATACTCATAAAAGGAGATTGGGACCAGCTTGGGAAGGTCTTCAGTTCCAGGCTAAGGAATCAAGGCTTTGTTCAGTGGGGAGCCACCAAAGGTTTGAAATCAGGATTGTCATATGTAGGGACTGTACCTTAGAAAACCCAGCTTTTTATCCATCCCAACTGGAAATTAGATGGAAGCTTGATTAGAGCTAAGAAGGCTAATGAGAATGGTATTGCAGCGGTCCAAATAAGCAATAATATAGGCCTGAACCAGGGTGGGCACTAGGAGTGAAGAGGAAGGATAGATGCGAGGGTAGATGGCCTTGTAGCTTCAGTTCCAAGTTACATAGTCAAAGAAAGGCACTTGCACTCTGAGAGCAGATGAGCTTTCTAGACCCGCAGTACTAGTGCCAGCTTTCTAGACCCGCTGTCAGTACTAGTGCCAGTGATGAGTGTTTTTCAGACTGAATGATGTAATAAATTGCTGTTTGTTTTCCAGGACCCCTTTGCATTATGCAGCTGCGAATTGTCATTTCCACTGTATTGAGACATTAGTGACCACAGGGGCCAACGTTAATGAAACGGATGATTGGGGACGGACAGCTTTGCACTATGCTGCCGCATCAGACATGGATAGAAAGTAAACACAGCCTGCTCATGCTTCCTCTGGGGGTAGGGCTGCGGGCGGGGGAGGTTTGCTAAGTTTTCTTCATAGTCCCTCATGGAAACTGATATGAAGAAGCTCTCTTACCCAGAGCCAAAGGGGTCTTAGAATTGCTTCATCTCTAACCCCACTTTTCCCATTCTTCTCTCTTTATGTTTGGTTGTTACATGTCACTGCACAATTACTTCTCTACTCTCTGGGTTGAATGCCAAGTGGAGCCATCAAGCTCTGGTTTTCAATTTGTTCAAATATGTTGTAATTCATTTCGACATATACTGCAGTTTTCATCATCACCACTTAAATGCTTCATTTGCTGTAAAACTTAGACTTGTTAATATATATGCCATAAGTAAAAAATATCTGCCTATGCATAAACCCAACAGCCTTCAAATGTGGTATCAGTATGTGTAAAATAGATGCTATTCTCAGAACTTTGGGCATGAGTGCTCTTTCAGCAGCTGAAAGAGAGGAAGTTGATTGCTCTGGACATGTTTGCATTCTCGGTGGCTAGAAAAGGAAAGCAGAAATAAGTGAACCAGTTCAAGGGGAAAACATGGGAGAAGTGCCCACAGTTTATGAGATTATTCTCACAGGCTTAAGGGTCAAGGCGTCCTTCATAGGAATACTTTTTGGTGACCCTGCTTGGAGTGCTATTGAGTTATTTGCTGCCCTGTGCTGTGGAATTGATTCTGGGTCAGTGCTAACTGCTTATTCCATACAGCAGTGACTTTCACACGTTTTAGATGGTGACTCACAGTAAGAAATATATTTTGCATCATATACATATGTGTGTTATATATGAGTGTATAACATGAAAACAAAAATTTTATGAAGCCATTTTCATCTTTACTATGTGTGATGTTAAAAAAAAAAAAAAAAGCAAAACTGCTGTCTGCAGCCCACTAAATGATTTCACAATTCAGTAATGGGTTATGATCCATAGTTTGAAGAAACACTGCTCTTCATGTTTATATAATATTTCCAAGTCAGATGTAGCACTCAGAATCCCACAGCCATGTAGATTATTAATGCAACACACATTTATTGAGCATCTGCTATGCGCCAGGCTCTGTGCTCTTCACTTGGGATGTAGGAGGAGTGGGTGAGGGAGGGGGAGCAAGCGTACCACATCTGCTTAGAGCTGAAAACGATTCCTGGGTGGTGAAGAATTGTTCTGGCAGATGAGGGGTGATTAGGTCCCCGTCTCTGGATAAGTGAGATGCTGAACTCGTGAACAGGCAGCAAGGACTGTGGTATGGGTCAGAGAAGTTTGAGTAAAGTCGCCTCCTGTTTACCTGGGAGTTTGGAATGTTTAGGGAAGAGTGGACAAATTGTTGTATTAATCACTTACACCTAGATGTGAGTTTTAGTAAAGTCATGTTCCCAACTGCATTCCTTTGAAAAGAATAGATTTACTGGATGGCCTTGGAGAGAACTACGCAGACACTCAATGAAAATCGATGCTGCTTTTCTCTTTTGGGTTGGGATAAAAATAATTGGGATATAACTTGCACCCAAACCATTAACAACTTTGCCATTAAAAAAATTAATTGCAATTTTTTTTTTCTGTCCCATATGCTGAGAAGTAAGACCATCTTAGGAAACGCCCATGAAAATTCAGAAGAACTTGAAAGAGCCAGGGAGCTGAAGGAGAAGGAAGCCGCACTGTAAGTTTCTTCTGAGCTTAAGAACAAGGCGTCATTTCTGATGGCTTTGTCTGCTCTCTGGATCACCACATGGGCCAACCTACTCTTTTAGGGTGTAACTTGGAATCTTGAGGAAGTGTTGTGGGCTTGTCTTGAATGAAGAAGAAACTGTTTTTTTAATACATCCTTCAGCTTTGCTGTTTTTCACACAGGGAGATCTTTCTAAAATTGTAAGCTTTGCTGCAACCATTACTGTGATTGGCCAGCAGTTTTTAGGACCAGGTGTCCTAAATATCATTGCTAATCTGCTACGTATCATGTGCCTGAGGGGACATAACAATTTTACTCAGGGCTTTAGGCTCTTCTTTCATAACCTGAGGAAAACTAGTTAAGTGCTCCTGTAAATAAAGGAAGGAGCCCTTGTGGCACACAACTGCTAACCGAAAGGTAGACGTTTCAAACCTACCAGCAGCAACTCCGTGAAAGAAAAGACCTGGTGATCTGCTCCCATAAAGATTACAGACTTGAAGACCCTATGGGTCACTTCTACTCTTACATAACGTTGCTATGAGTCGGAATCGAGTTGACAGCAAACAGCAACAATAACAACATAAATAAAGGTCTTGAGATTTTGGTGTGAAATACACCAAGTGCACTGTCCCCTACGCATCAACTTACAGACAGCCCCATGCTGTCTGCAAACAGCTGCTCACATCCTGCCTCTCTCTGGCTTCTGACGGAGACTTAGCTGTTGCTGAGATACGGGCTGGAGTGACTGCCATCACCTGTGGGGCTGGTACATTGGAAAGATCTAATGCCTCATCCTCCAAGAGTCCTATGCACTTCAAATCACAGTAAGAAGTATACACTGCCCAGTGCAGTGGCTGGCACAAAACAAGTGCTCAGTACTGTTGCAAAATTGAGCAAATGCTCACAATTTGTGCCCTGTCCCTGTGAGACCCAAAGGACGTAGTTGCTGTAAGAGACTGCACACATAGTCTTTAACTTGTTTAGTCTTTTCTCCAGTTGTCAAAAAAAACAGTTACCATCGAGTCAGTTCTGACTCATAGTGTCCCCATGTGTGTCAGAGTAGAACTGTGCTCCATGGGGCTTTCAATGACTGATTTTTCAGAAGTAGATTGTCAGGCCTTTCTTCCGAGGTGCTGCTGGGTAGACTCGAACTTCTAACCTTTCCATTAGCAGCAAACACTTTCTTTAACGATTTGTACCCAGGGATTCCCTCCAGTTGTCAGAGGAAGCTCTTTCTCTATGACCTGAATGTTCCCTGTCCAGTCAAGGGTCTTCTAACCTCCCACTGGGCTTTACCTGTGCTCAGACCATTGTGGAAAGGTAGAGTTAGAGAGTGTGGCCCCGGTCAGGTTGGGGGATATAACTGTGACTATGACAAGGGTGAGGATAGGAAACACAGCCGTAAGTAAAGCAGAATTACAAACGTTTTGCACCAATACCCCAAAATTTAAAATAATGATATTAGAAGAATGTAAAGATTTAAACCACCTCAACAAATGCCCCCTTCTCCAGCAGAACTGCAAGCTTGCCCTGAGCCTGAGAGCTCTTTTATGCAAAGAGGGACGACCCTCTCCTCCAAGTATGCTCCTGACCTTGTGTGCTTCTGTTGATTTTGCAGCATAGGTACCAAAATCACTAGTTAGCTCCCTGGAAGGAGAAAAGATAAGACATTCCCAGTTAAAATGTGACACTCATTTTCCCTTAGAAGCAATGTGGAGACTATTCAAATTCTATAGTACTGTTGTTATTCTAATAACACTGTTCGCAGTATAGTTCAGCTGTATTCTGGGTTAAGTAACTCTTCAGGGGCAGTTCCAAGTGCTTTCCAAATTCCACACAGCCCACTTACCAACTGACTTTTAGAACATAATCTATTGAGAAGTTGGGGATTGTGTGTTCACTACAGCACTATTCCTGTTGAATGACTTATTTAAAGGGGTGAATTTGGTTGAAAATGAGTCACACCTGGGATTCTGTCCATGCGCACTTAATTACCAAAATCAAAAAAGACTTCCTTATAAGGTGCAAATCACCAAAGACAACATGATAGCAGGGTTCCAATAATAGCTTGATTTACTACGGAACATTTTATGGATAAATTATGTGACATTTAGCTATTTGGTTTAAAACTGTCTTTCGTCAGTTTTTCTGGAAATTAAAGTATTTATTTTAATTGTCTCTATGAGTAATTTGCCCACGGAAGCAGCAGTCAAGAAATCAAACAACATGTTGCATTGGGCAAATCCGCTGCAAAAGACCTCTTTGAAGTGTTAAAAAGCAAGATGTCATCTTGAGGACAAAGGTGCACCTGACCCAAGCCATGGTATTTTCAATCACCTCATATGCATGCAAAAGCTGGACAGTGAATAAGGATGACCGAAGAAGAATTGATGCCTTTGAATTATGGTGTTGGCGAAGAATACTGGATATACCATGGACTGCCAGAAGAATGAACAAATCTGTCTTGGAAGAAGTACAACCAGAATGTTCCTTAGAAGCAAGGATGGCGAGACTTCATCTCACGTATTTTGGACATGTTATCAGGAGAGACCAGTTCCTGGAGAAGGACATCATGCTTGGTGAAGTAGAGGGTCAGCAAAAAAAGAAGAAGACCCACAATGAGACGGATTGACACAGTGGCTGCAGCAATGGGCTCAAACATAGCGACGATTGTGAGGATGGTGCAGGACTGGGCTGGGTTTCGTTCTGTTGTACATAGGGTGCTCTGAGTTGGAACCGACTCGATGGCACTTAACAACAACAGCATAGAAATTTTCTGTTGGAAGGTCTTGTTTACTGTATAGACTTACATTTATAATCTCAAAATTTTTATTTGAGTATGAAATGGATTAGTTTTTCATGTAAAGGACATGCTTGTCCTACTAGCATAGAAATAATACTGAAATTCTAGAGCATTGCTTACCTCCCATTTTTATCCAGCAGCATCATCCCATTCCCAGTAGGCCCTGAATAGTACCCATTACATCTATGGGGGCTTATGTGCTAGAGTTTAGGGCTCTTTAGCAAAGTGGTGTCACAATTCTTTCTTTAACCTTTCCAATGATTGTGGCTTTTTCAGAAAAATTACAACTCTGTCAGAAAAGGTATTCAAAATGTATTATTTTAAGTGTAGCCTATATTCCTAATGGTGCAATGTAAGTGCTTCTTTCTTCATAAATGGTCACTGAATTAATCTTTTATATTTTAAAAATGTTTACCTATTCTTTAATCTTCTTATTTTTTCAGCTACTCTTAAATGCTTTCTTTTTCTTACTCTTTCTAACTTTCACTTCCCAACCTTTTGATCTTAGAGTCTCCAAAAGCAACATTAAAAACAAACTCACTCTGTTGAGGTTTGCCCTGTGGTAATGGCCTAACCATTCCTTTGTTACATTTGAGACTTTGTCTTTTGAACAGAGACCTCTAACAACTTGTTATTCAATAATCTTAATTCCAGACAGGTTCTGTACCCTAGTATGAGGAAAAAACAAAACAAAACAAGAAAACCTTAATTACCCTCTTGTTCCTAAAGCATTTCCTGAATTCTAGAATGTCTATTTTAAGCGGAAATATAGTCAAATACCGCATAACATCCATTCGAGCAATGTCGAATCTCATATACGTCCGTGGTCCTGTAAGGTTATAATAGAGTTCAGTAATACTGATCAGAGAATGAGATGTAGTGGACGTAATGGGATGTAGTGAATGCAGCAGCTTCCTGCATGCAACACATGTATCTCATGTCTCCTGGATACAAAGCAATTGCACTGCCAGGAGTATAATGGTACAGTATGTATATAACCTATAAAACATATGTCTTGATAGTCATAATAAATGCCTATGTTACTGGCTTATGTATGTACTGTACTGTACTTTCTATTATTGTTTTCATGTGAACTCTCCCTACTTACAAATAAAAAGTTTACTGTATAACAGTGTATGCTTGGGCTTGCAGGCAGCAACATCCAATCTCATGTATCGCACATCTCTTGAGTGTTGTAGCGTTATCTCTGTGTTTAATTTTCTTTAAAAAATATTACCGTGAAGTGCATCATGGCTCCCAAACGCAGCAAAACCAGTGCTAGTGATAGCAGCAGCAAGAGCAAAGGAGAAGTATCGATCTGGAAACGAAACAAAAGGTTATTAAACAATAGGAAGGTGGAAAATCAGTAAAGGCTATGGGTTCATGATATAGGCATGTTCACGCAACATCCAAATCATGTAATGTCCTGTTTCACGGAACATATCATGGACGTTTAGCGACGCGTGACTGTAAAGCCTATGAAAATGCACACACACACACACACACACACACACACACACACACACTCTCTCATACCCCTTACAGCTCGTGAAACTTCATTGATGTAGGATTTCTAAAGAAATACTGAAATTCACAAAGTACTTTGTGGAACATGCATAAAAGGAGGTAAATTACATTGATTATCCCTTTTGGCCCAGAGATGTTTTCTAAATAACACTCCGTCTTTATATTTACAGATGTTTAGAGTTTCTGCTTCAGAATGATGCAGACCCCTCTATCCGGGACAAGGAAGGTTACAATAGCATACATTATGCTGCTGCCTACGGCCACAGACAGTGTCTGGAGTTGGTGAGTAGTTTTTTTTCTCTAACACACACACACAAACCTGAAATTGCTGGTCTTAACCTCTCAATAAATACCCTCACGGCCTAATTAAGTCACCACTAGAAATCTCCTTGAAGATATTCTGTGGTAAGCAATGTAAACTGTTTCACTTTATGATATGTTATCTGTCTATTTCATTTCTGTCCATCCTAAACTCAGAGCTGACAATTGATTCTTCCACATTAACTTGGGCTGGGATGTTAGCCCTGTGTACAAACACAGTTTATATTTTAAAGACAGTTAAAATGCATCAAATAAGTTTAGTGTATATTTCAGGAGGCAAACTTTGTATCCTAATATTCAATAAGAGTGTTGTATGATGACTCACATAACTGTTTGCCTTATCGGTTTGTCATGGTGTTGTGGGCACTGATATTGGCTTGCTGTTCATCCCCTACTGGGCCTCTAATTGCTTCAGAATATTTATGTTGCAGAGAGAATCTTTCATTGGGTAAAACATTTTCTTCTAAAGCAGTGGTTATTGTAGTAGCAAAGACTCCAGAGTCATACTGCCTTATGCTAGAATCCCAGCACTGTCCTCTTATTATCTGACCTTGGCAAGCTTCGTAATCACTCTGAGACACAGTTTTCCCATCTACAAAATGGAGATCAGTTAGTGCTTTTGTCATAAGAATGTCAAGGTTTAAGTGAGGTAACGGGGCCCTGGTAGCACAGTAGTTAAGAGCTCGGCTGCTAACCAAAAAGTCAGTAGTTCGAATCCACCAGGTGCTCCTAGTAAACCCTATGGGTCTGTTCTACTCTGTCCTGTAGGGTCACTATGAGTCGGAATCAACTCGACAGCAACAGGTTTGGTTTTTTGGTTTATATACCAGGCTAGGTGTTTCACATGTAAACCCGTTGCCATCCAGTTGGTTCTGACTCATAGTGATCCTACAGGACAGAGTAGAACAGACCCATAGGGTTTACAAGGAGCACCTGGTGGATTTGAACTACTGACTTTTTGGTTAGCAGCCAAACTCTTATCAAACTATGCCACCAGGGTTTCCAGCCCTGTATATAGTAAGTGTTTAATAAATGTCACACTACCACAAACAAGTAAGACGTTCTTTTATGAGATAGCTGTAGGTGAACTGATTTTAGAATACCTTGGAACATAGTTTTGTAGTTTAAGAAAAGACATTGGCAAGGGCACTAACAGCAGAATATACTGAAACTTCCAAACCATCAAAAATTTAAAACCTACAGTGATCAAGAAACACCTGGGGTTTTAGAGTCTGAAACTCCCCTGTTGGTGTAGATCATGAGACACAAGCTCAAATGCCCACAGGGACCAGAAAGGTAAATGAGTGAAGTGAGCCCAGGGGGAAACAATAGGAATGATGGGGATTATGGGAAATAGAGCACATGTTCCGTCTAAACTGCTAGTCACTCCAGCTGATTGAGGCCGGGTGACAATGCATGCCCAAGGTTGCTAGATCTCCAGTGTTTTAAAAGAAGCTAGAAATCTGGACTTTTTATATGAAATTTCTCATTTTGAAAACAGCGGGTGATCTAGGGGGGAAAATGAGGGGTTCGTGGCTGAATCTTACCTGAAGGCCACCATTTTGCATCATTTTTGGTTCAGCTATACCAGCATACACTGGGTAGCCCAAATTCACTCTTCTCTGGTCCAATAACAAACACCACCTTTCCCAACTGGACTCCAACTCTTTTCCTTGTCCCTTTAAAAGAAGAAGTTCTACTTTTCAGAGTTATTCAGAGGTGTGTCTGGAGAAACACTTGAACTTCAACTTCACTGTCTATTTAGAAAGATCTGAGGCAGAAAGGCAGTAAGCAGTGGTGTTGGTGTCTACGTAGAAGTGACTGAATAATTCCCCACCTATTTCTTCTATCTTTGACTTTGTTGCTGGTTTCAAAGAAGGGCTTCACTTAGGGTCATTCTTACTATATTTCTTTTAACTACGAATGTAAGAATATTCTCATAAAGGTCACCCAGTTTGGAAATAAAAAGTTGAGTATTCTGGTGGTGTTTTTTTATTGCATTGATTGATGAATTGTTCTTGTGGATACTAAAGATTACCTTGTTTGACCTTGTGGGTGGCACTTTTTCTTTTTTTTTTGTCCTCTAGTTTGGATTCCATCATAGTTCCTGTCCCAGTTACTGTGACTGTGTATAAAACCACCCTACTCCATAGACACATCCAAACTCCTTGAGGGACTGAATTGCTGGG